TTGAGAGTTGTGATTCTGGTGTTCTGTTCACCCCAAAGCCCTCGCATCTTTCACACACTGAGAAGCTGATTATGAGGAGTGTGAACATGTTTATATTTGGGTTTACTTTCATAGTAGATTCACCTGTGTGGATGCATTGAGTGAGAGAGGGAGATCAGTGCATCATCTTGTGAGGGAGAGAGCCGAAGAGCAGGGGGTGGCTGTGAGCTCACTCTCTCCTTCCACCCACCTGCCGGCAATCTCATCCTCGACAAATTCCCCTTTCTGCGCTCTTTCCACACACCCTTTCATTGTTTTCCTTGACTGTGAAACGCCCAGAAGTCCTCAATGTCTGCATTAATCTCTGCACAATGGATTCCATCTCAATTTCAAATTTTGGGACGATTTGAGAGCATCGTTAGGGCTACAGCCCCATCCCATCCATGGAGATGAGTACTTCGACCTCCTTTTATAATTAGAGCTCAACAAGAGCAATGTTTTCCAACCCAATTCTGGCATCAGGACAACGCCCTCTACATCCCCCACCCCTCATCACCCTCTCCTTTCCTTCCCACCCAAGCTCTCAACCCTGGGATCCTCTCAGCGATATTCTCACTCAATTCCTTTGATTTCTCCCTGCGCATCCACTCCAGCAGTCTGTCTTCCAAGCCCTGCATGCTGGAGACACCTCTTTGCTTCAATTCCGCTCTTATTCGGGTTTCCCTCCCATTCTTATTGGGCATTCAAATCCTGCGATTTAATCGCACTTGATGCAATATTATTGCATATTTTCGTTCTTTGGGGTTCCTGGCGTTGTCTAACAACGCTGCAGGGACATTCTATGGTCTCAGCTCATTCTGGACCATTGGTCTTGACCCAGCCGCTGGCCTGGGCCACATAGCGTCAATAATTACTTCGAATTTAGTGAGTTGTCACTGTTGTGCATATTTTGCATGATCTCTGCTGCGCATCTCCAGTGTCTTTGCTTCTGTGCATATCATGCATGTTCCTGCCCTGCACTCTGTGCATCTTTAGATGGTGCATAGCCTGCGCTGCGCATATCCTGCGTTTTTCCGGCGTGCATATCATGCATATTTCGACTGCATATTGTGCATTTTCGACCGTGCATAGCCTGCACTTGCGCATATTCTGTGTATTTTCTACTGTGCATATCGTGCATTTTGAGTGTGCATAGGCTGCACATGCGCATATCGTGCGCTGCGCATATTCTGCATATTTTCTGGCATGCATATCATGCATTTTCGATGGTGCATAGCTTGCACATGCGCCTTTTGTGCGCTGCGCATAGTCTGCGCCTTTCCTGTGGTGCATATCGTGCATTTTCGACCATGCATAGCCAGCACTTGCGCATATCGTGCGCTGCGCATATTCTGCGTATTTTTCGGTGTGCATATCGTGCATGTTTTGAGTGTGCATAGCCTGCACTTGCGCATATCGCATATCGTGCGCTGCGCATATTCTGCATATTTTTGGGTGTGCATATCGTGCATGTTTCGAGTGTGCATAGCCTGCACTGCGCATATTCTGCGCCTTTCCTTGGTGCCTATTGTGCATTTTCTTGACTGTGCATAGTCTGCACTTGCGCATACTCTGCGTATTTTTCTACTGGGCATACCGTGCATTTCTGATGGTTTATAGCCTGCACCTGCACCTATCATGCGCTGGGCATATTCTGCGCCTTTCCTTGGTGCATGTCATGTTTTTCTCGACTGTGCATAGCCTGCACTGCGCATATTGTGCGCTGCACATATTCTGCGTATTTTGGGTGTTCATATCGTACATTTTTCGACCGTGCATAGCCTGCACTTGCGCATATTCTACATATTTTCTACTGCGCATATCATGCTCTTTCTCGACTGTGCATAGCCCACACTGCGCATATTGTGCGCTGCGCATATTCTGCATATTTTTGGGTGTGCATATCGTGCATGTTTCCAGTGTGCATCACTTGCACTTGCGCATATCGTGTGCTGCGCATATTCTGCATATTTCTGGGCGTGCATATCGTGCATGTCGTGCATGTCGTGCAATTTTCGACTATGCATAGCCTGCACTTGCGCATATTCTGCGCTGCGATTCTTCTGCGTCCTTTCTGGCGTGCACATTGTGCACTCTTTGATCGTGCATATTCTGCGTATCTTTTGGGTGTGCATATCGTGCATTTTGAGTGTGCATAGGCTGCACATGCGCATATCATGTGCTGCGCATATTCTGCATCCTCTCTGGCGTGCATATCATGCATTTTTCAACTGTGCATAGCCTGCACATGCGCATATTGTGCGCTGCGCATATTCTGTGTCCTTTCTGGCATGCATGTTGTGTATTGTGCACTGCGCATATTCTGCGTATTTTTGGGCGTGTATATCGTGCATGTCGTGCATGTCGTGCAATTTTCGACTGTGCATAGCCTGCACTTGCGCATATTCTGTGTATTTTCGGCGTGCATATCATGCACTTTTGATGGTGCATAGCTGCGCATGTCCTGCGCATTTTCTGGCATGCATATCGTGCATTTTTGGCTATGCATAGCCTGCACTTGCGCATATTCTGCATATTTCCTGTGGTGCATATCGTGCTTTTCAATCGCCTGCACTTGCGCATTTTGTGCACTGTTTTTTCTCCTGTGCATATCGTGCTTTTGACAGTGCATAGCCTGCACTTGCGCATATCCTGTGTATTTTCTACTGTGCATATCGTGCTTTTTCGGCAGTGGATAGCATGCACCTACGCCTATTCGTTGCCTGCACCCATGCATATCATGCACTGTGCACATCCTGCACATTTTCTGGTGTGCATAGCCTGCACCCATGCATATTGTGCACCGTGCATAGCCTACACACTTTCCAACATGCATATCGTCCACATTTCAGCTGCATATTGTCCATATTTGATGGGTATTGCCTACACATGCTCATTTCATGCACTGGGCGTAGCCTGCACATTTTCCGGCTTGCACATTGTGCCTATTTCGACTTTGATTAGCCTAGAATTGCGCGTATCCTGCGTTTTCCTGCAGTGTATATCATGCATTTTTGACAATGCATAGCCTGCATCTGTGCATGTTGTGCGCTGTGCATAGCCTGCACATTTTCCGGCGTGCATATCGTGCATATTTTACTGACACACAAGTTGTGCTGCTTACTTTGGGTGAGCCGGCGTTGTTCTGGCTGGGCAGCACATTTTGGGGTCATCTGCACCCCGCCGGCTTTGCGCCCTGGGCTCAGCTCCCACACCCAATCACACTACTGTTGTGCAACACAGTATTTTATTTGATGGAATGTCTGGCCAGCAAAGGCTCAACTGAAGAAGAAGCACACCCTCAGCATTTCAACGGATTGCAGATCAGGGTGCAATTGCAGATGTGGGTCAATGATAGTAGGGTCAACGACAAAGGACATGGTCTGTTTCAGGAAAGGATGATCATGATGCAGAGTCGGGGTCTCAGTGTCACGTTGTTACGGTGTCATAGTCATGTCATCAGGTCTGCATAACCATGATGTACCCTCACATGCTCCAGTGGACACGATGTGTTCCCTCATTTGGGATGCGCACAGATGCATTCTAACTGGTAATATTGGCTTGAGACTGGTGGAGGTGCCTGAAAATATAAGAATAAAAGAAGAAATCAAAAGAGGAAGGAGAAGAAGAGGGGGGGGGGGGGAAATCGGAACAGTTTTCCTGGATCACAGTTGATAGCGGAAATGTCTGCATTCGGATGCCGTCAGTACAGCAACCACATGTTTGCTGTGTGTCATGTAGCAACAAAGTGTTGTGATCTGTTCCTTGAGCTTAAAGGCCACTAGCACTTGTTCAATTTATTTTAATAAATCCTTAGAATGTCCCTAGAAAAATTACATGATTTCCCATCTGGTGGGAGGCTCATTGTAACCGGCTTCTGTTATTTAGTGGAGTTTGAAGCTATCTTGTGGATCAGAAGCACCAAATTATACCCTGCCTACTCTCTGCTTTCAGCCATTTTTTGCATATTGGTCTGTCAGAACTGATCATAAATCAAATAACTTTGTGACATCGACAGCAGTTTGGCCTGGTCGTACCTCCGCTTGTGCCTCCTCCACTGCCAGGAGCTACGTACTGAGTGCGTATCTCATAAACAAGCCTCAAGGGCAGGAGATTCCCTTGAAAGCAGTGCAAGTTGGAGGGCTCAAGAGTGCTGCCATCAATAAGGAGCACACTTATGACATTGGAAACAGTCAATGGAGGCTTTGAGTAAGCATATTCACATCCTCAAGTCACAGAGTGCCAGGACCCCAGCACATCCAATCAATTGATTGGTTGAAACAGACCATGTCCTTTGTTGCCAACCTTACTCCATGCAGGTAGTCACATCATGTCACAAATCCTCACTTTCAATCAATAACCTTTCCGTCACTGCGTGCTTGCTCCATGTTGCGCCAAAATGCCACCATGGCATATCTGATCTCCCAGAAGACATACAAGAAGGCACTCAGTAAAAAATGGAGAAAAGAACGGGCCATCCAACACCGTAACCACATTGACAGTGCTCTTGTGGCCCTTGCGGTCACATTCACCGTATCTGTGCTTCTTTTGACAGCTGAACCCATCCCCAAATACACGGCTATCTGTAGACAACGCTACATAGTAAGTCCTCAGTCACACAAAGATCAGTGTAAGACTCATATATACCTGTAGACAACACGTATGTAGTATTTCTACAGGGGATAATAAGTAAACAATAGGTATGTGAATAAGTAGGAACCCACCCTCAGTCACAGAAAGATTAGTGTAAGACTGAGGGAGGGAAAAATGATTGGAAAACTTTAATACTGCTCAGTCCGATTGCTCCCCAACATGTGATGGCACTGAATGTCCACACATTGATGCGCCATCATCTCAACACTGTCCTTTCAGGTCAGAGTTGGTTAACAGAGCTATACCACTGCACAAACACTGAACACTTTTGGGACCAACTTGGCTTGGGGAAAGAGGTCTTCATCAAGCTTCTCGTTGAGCTCAGAACCATGTCAGGCTTGTCAAACTCAAAATATGTGATGGGCAAGGGGAAGCTGGGGATTTTTCTGTATTTTGTTTGCACAGGGGCCACCAGTCAAATGCTTCAAGAGCGGTTTCAACGAAGCGCAGATAGAATCTCAAAGTATGTACACAAATGTCCCTGATATATTCCAGTACTCATTTTCACATACACTATTTCATGTAGGTCAGTGCACACTGTTCTAGAATGGCTTGTTGGCACTTTTTACAAGAAGTATGTGGATCTGCCCCTGGACCAGACACCACCAGAAGTCAAGTCCAATCCCAAATTCTACCCATACTTCTGCAACTGTCGAGGAGCCATTGATGGGTCTCACTTCTGCACCTGGATTGCAGCAGAGGCTGCAGCTTGTTACTGAAACAGGAAAGGGTTTCTGGGGCAAAATGTTTTGGCTGCATGCAACTTTGTGATGCTCTTCATTTACATCCTGAGTGGCTGGGGAGGAAGTACTTCGAATTCCAAGATTTGTGAATATCACAAGAGCAAGACTTGGAAATTCCAGTTGGGAAGTAGTATCTTGCTGATGCTGGATTTCCCCTATGTGATGCTCTGCTCACACCATACCATGGTGTCCAGTAACATCTCAAAGAGTGGGGCACAGCAAATCAGAAGTATGACTCCAAAATAGAACTCTGAATCCAGAGCTGATACACTTTAGACCAAAGAACCAAGAAGAGCTCTTTAATTTGTGACATGCACAAGTGCAAAACATTATTGAGCATTGAAATGCTGAGGGCGCGCTCACAGGTAAATCTACTATGAAAGTAAACCCAAATATAAACATGTTCACACTCCTCATAATCAGCTTCTCAGTGTGTGAAAGATGCGAGGGCTTTGGGGTGAACAGAACACCAGAATCACAACTCTCAATAGACGCGGGATCCAATAGTTGCGGAAGACAGAGTCAACGCGCAAGAATTTATATAGCAAGAAACAGTGTCTCAACCAATATCTTCTATACAGCCAAAATCAACACTGATCCAACCACAACCAACCATATCACAAGTCAGAACTTAATACAAAGTATTAAGATCCCTTGTAGCAACAGCATCCAAGTGGTGACGCAAAGCCCAAAATATCAAGTTGATGCACTGCCAACTAATACAACCAAAATACTGAGTCGACGCACTGCCAACTAGTAAAACCAAAATGCCACGTTGACACACTGCCAACTAACAGCCAATATCCAAATGTCCAAAACCCAAGCACAACTTGTCGACGCACTGCCAAGCAAGAAGTGTGGAACCAAAGTTCTCAAGTCGATGCACTGCCAACTGACCAAGACAACCCGAGCACAACTAGTTGACGCACTGCCAAACTAGAGGCGTGGAAACAATCTCAACAAAGCCCAAAGGCAACAACACTAAGTGCCGCGACAAAACCAGAAGCGACGGATCCGACTCTCTGATATCTCAACTCAAACTCAAATCACAGTAGCTACAAGTGCTCAGGGAGCAACTCGTGGCGACCGGGCAGGGATAGCAGAACTTCTTAAGGCGGAATCACGCGACATGCAAATTGCACAAAACAATCTGATATGGGTATGATTCACAGTCTGGGGGAAAGCTCCCCAATACAAAGAAATGACGCGCTACTTATACTGTCTACAACAGTGCTTACTAAAGTCCTGTACAACTGCATAGTAGCTACGCTATCTAAGATTGGTTGCTTTTTATGGTAATGAAAAAGTTGAATGATCAGACAGGTCCTGACTGATCAGGACCCCGCCCCATTGTCTATATGGTGTTTTTGATGTGGGTCAACCCACCACGTCATACTTTTGGAATACGACGTGCTGGATTGGCCAACTGGTATGTCTTGGCAAGTGAGTCCAACGTGGGTGCCCCAAGAAGCCGTATGGTCCCAGGCACGCCAGATGTTCCTCACATGGTTTGGTTCACGGATCTAGCCCATGTTGCTTTGGGTGTGTTTGGGTATGGGCGCAACTCACCATGACACTTTGAAGTGTCACCACAACGCGTCCACAATATCCCGTGATCAAGTGGATCATGACATGTGACAAGTTGTCACCGTGGCATGATCTAAGGAAATGTTCAACCCAAAGCCGGGAGTCGCCGCGACAAGATTGGTTCAATCTTGTAATGCCAAGTCCTGTCTAGTAGTAGTTGATATGTTGAGCACGTTGCGCCTTGCTAAGCCCTCCAGCCCGAGTTCCCATCTGCAGAGAATGACCCTTTTGAGGAGTCGCCACAACAAAGGATCCTTTTTGAGAAATTGCCACAGTCCAAGTGTCCGTTACTAATAGCCCTGAGCCTGGTGTAGACTTATACGACCAATTCCACAGTAGTGGTCTGACTGCCTTGCTATTGTCAACACTATCCACAGTCGTTGACTGGGCAGTAGACCCTCAATTCCTACTGAGCGCAATACTGTCAACCGCGACACAATACACCGAATGGTTCAAGAGTAAACTCTGTAAAAGCGCAAAAATACACCCTTATAGAGTTAGTGCAGAGCACGCCTGGTAGCCAGCCTATCACCATTGTCTAAATCTTCCACTCTACATGAACCTTGAGCAAGAGGCCAAAATCCGAAAGGTCAAGGCGGTTGTCCAAGAGCAAAAGCGTCTTGACAATGCATATGTGGAGGGACATGAGGAGGAGGTCAAGAATAGGCCCAGGTGTAAAAAGGGTGTGTGCACTGTGTGATTGCCATGATTCCTGGTGGACTGTGATGCATCTCAGGCCCACCTGTCCTCATCAACGAGTTTGATGACCACAACCATCTCAATGATCTGGATTTTGAGCTCAATGGTGATGAAGATGAGATTGACAACATGGATTGGGAAAATGAGGATAAACACAGGAATCCAGTGCGTAGCAAGAAGTTGGGGAAGAAGAGCAGCATGTCTTCAAATTCTGTGAACAGCTCCAAGACTACGCATAAATGCAAACCATCCACGGATGAGCCCAAGTTTGTGCTCACTCCAACTTACATAATGCAAACTCACACTGACATTTGTTCTGTTCTAGAGGGTCTGCTCCTGCAAAGAAAAAGGGCAAGGTGAGCAAAGGTGGCCCTCTCCCCTCAAAGCAACATGTGCAGTCCATTGCCTTGACATGCATGGACACAACTAGCGCAATCCCTGAGGACAAAGACTACTTCTCAAAATTTGGTGGCCCAGCATTAGATGACAACATAGATGAGGAGGTGGAGAAACTGACAGTGAATCAAAAGAAGAAGCATGGCTTGCCTCTAGTTGATACTGTGCATATGATTGATCTTGACTTCTTTTTGCTCACTGCTGTCACTCTTTTGTGTTCAGAATATCAGGGTCAAGACCGTTGTCAAGCCCAAATCATTGAAGGCCAAGTGTGGTGGCGCAGACAAATGGGGTCTTCACCATCTGCCACCAGGCACCTTGACCCTCTTCAGCGAGGCCATTGTGCCTCTCCTCAAGCTTGATGTTGCTTGTGGCAAGCCCTGGTCAACAGTTACAGTCAAGATGGTCAAGAACCATGTCAGGCAGATCTACAGGGATGAGCATGTAGTGGATGCAGAGTCAGCATACTTTGGCCTGGTGTGTGGATGTTCTTGTCTTTGACATACTTCTCATGGCCAGATACTTAGGCTGGATATTGAATCAATGACTTCAAGCACGACATTGGCAAGCATGCCAAAGCTGCTGTCTCCAGAATGATCTTTGGCTTCCCAAAGGGTGAGTTTCCTACCATGGAGGAACTGGGAGAGTACAGAATGCCTGATAGAGAAGGTGAGAGATCCTCTATGAACTGTGACATTGTCTGATACTTGCATGTAGACAAGGGTCCCAGTGATCCCATTTATGATCTACTGAACAATGATGGCATGGCCAACACGTCAGAAATTGCAAAGTGTGTTGCGTGGGCTTTAGAGACAGACACAAGAGTGTGTGCAAGTCCACGCTTCCTCTGGCACAGATGGGGTGGTGGGACTAACAAGAAGGTGCGTCATGGGCACTCTTGTATCTGGATAATGCTTACTGTTCAAAGGGAATGTTCATGTCCTTCCTTGTTCTCTACACCTACGTGCAGCTCCTAATCACGCTTGATGTGATCTCTGCCACCTACTGCCCCAAACCCCAGTACCGCTTTCTCCTTGAATCACACAACCTCAAAGGAGAACTTCTGCAGCAAGTCAAAGACAAAGACAAAGACAACTACCTCAAATGTGTGTGTGATATTCACGGAGATGATGTCACCTGTGTCAAGATTCTGATACATCCTATTGGCGCATTCCTTATGTCTGGTCAAGCAGTGCAAAACTCCCAGGTGCTCATTTCTGTGTCCCCCCTTCCATTTTGAATCCTGGTCCCTCTCTGAATCTGACTCATCAGGCTGAACTCTTCTCTTGTGTTGTTACAACATTCATCATCGACAGCTATAAGACGCTCAACCCCAACTCAGGGATCCAGATCGTTGTCCTCCTCAGCCAGATCTCGCACCAGCTCGCCAACATGAACAACAGCACTCCCTCAGGACACCCCAATCTCCTCCCTTGTCTGCAACGCACTCCGGTTTCCAAGTCGTTCGATGCGCGTCTGCTTGCCGTCCGTTCTCCGCTTCAGCACAGATGTCACCGTTCGAGTCGCTTGGCTATACGGGGGCTCTGAGACTCGATCATGTCCAGCTGGATCAGGCCCGGCAGACATGTTGGGGACCATACTCTGCACGTCGGAAGAATCAGAAAGTTCGAGCCGACAGCGCGTTGTCCACTTGAGCTTCGCCAAATCGGACTTTGTAGAGGCGACCCCGTGCGAAGGGCGAACGCGCAGGCGGATGGCCCAGACGGCCTGGAGGACCGAGAGCTGGTGGCAAAGGCAAAGGCAGTCCTTGGGCTCGAGCAGATTGCTGTCGGAGCCAGCAGCCATGAAATCGGCAAGACGCTGGCCAAGATGGACTTCCGCACCCGCAACAGGAACTCGAACAGTGCCTGATACACGCCGCGAGGCTTGTTTTGATCGAAATCCCACAGCGTCAGAGCCAGCCCCTCGTCATCAAACTCGGCATCGTCGGAGAGAGACCGGACGGTCCACGCGAGTGCCCGGGTCTCCGTTTTGGCAGTGGGATGCAGGGCTTCTGCGTTGGCCGTGCTCTGGGACTCCGGACGGGTGTCGGCAGGTGCAGAAGGCGCGGCACAGGCCCCGTGGTTCGTCACGAGCGACCCGAGGATCCGGGTGAGCGGCGGGTGGTGCGGACAGTCGAAGAAGAACAGCGGGAGGGCGGACACCTGTAGACGGAGACGAACAGGAGCAGGAGCGAAGAGATGCCCATGATGATGACGTGGCACGAGCAAGGCCAGCGGACCCCCGTGCAGGAGAGGCGGGGGAACACCGATGACGGCACGCATACTGAGGCGTTGTGCGCCGTAGCAGAGATGCATCTAGTACACACACACACATACGGACAGAGGGCGACGAGAACACGGTACATAGTCTGGTGTTGGTGTTCCTGCGCCCACTGCTCGACGAGTGTCGCGACCAGCGCGCCCGACAAGCTGTGCCCGCGGCTGGCGAACCAAAGTGCGTTGCAGAGGAGAGTTGAAGGCGGAGGCGGAGGCGGAGGCGAGAACGCAGCGGGCGGAGGCAGTGCGTCCGTCACTGCTGGCCGTTATGCGTCTTCGCGAGCTGGTGTGAGATCTGGCTGAGGAGGACGACGGTATGGCTAAGCCACACGACGGTCTGGCTGCCCAGTGAGTCGGGGTTGAGCGTCTTGTAGCTGTCGAGGACGAATGTCGTGATGACGCGGAAGAAGAGACCAGCTTGATCATGAGTCCTAAAACGAGTGGTGCGAGTGACGGGTCTGTCAAGACTCAAGAGAGACTAATCATCAGTCAGATCAAGAAGATTCTGAAGAACGGTCGAGGACGCACAAAGACCAGTAGGTCGTCCATCTCACTGCGCCTGCCATCGATGAGACCCTGATTGCCGTTTGACGCCTCAGAGATGTAGACGCTCCGGATCTTGTTTCCGTTCGCCCTCTCGCGCTCGATTGCTTTGTCGGCCTGCAATTCATCGGCCTGTCCTTCCTTGGGTCTGAGATTTGTCAGGCTGTGCTCCCTCGGTCCGCGATTCGTCAGACTGTGATTCGTTGGATTGTTTTTCATGTGCTCAGCCTACAATCATGCTTGTATTCGGTATGTATAATGAGCAACACGAGAGGGGCCTAGTTGAGTGCAACAGTCGAGCAGCTAATATCCTAACATTTCCCTTCCCGGCGTAAGACCTCCGTGAACACGTCCTTTGTGATACTAAGAACAGCCGGTCTGGATCAACATTCTACAGCCCGCATCCGCTCGCGGCGTCTTGTCGACTTGCACACACGTCCCGTGCCGACGGGGGTGAACGTGCTCAACCAGAGACTGACGGATCGCGGGCGCAGCAGCACCGACGGTGGACGGAATCATACAGCCTGCCGCCAAGGTATCCTTACTCTGCATTGCAAATGCATTAGCCACTCGGCACCCGCACATAAGAAAAAGAAAGACTCACCAAGCCGGCCATTCCCGACAACCATCTCAATCCCGCACCTTTCCCGAAGCTCACGCTCTACAGGCCAACTAGCTCAGGGATGCGATCAATGCCTACGACTAGGCCTCCCGAGGAACGAACGGCGATAGGTCGTGCATGTACGGGGCACTGATCGTCGCGCCGTCACCAATGGCTCTGCGAAGGGCCGTGTCAGAGAGACTCGTGCTTGCTGCCATGGTTTTAGTGTGGAATACGGCCCTCGCATGCGGTGCTCGCGTCCCGTCCGTAGTGTGCGCGGTCGACCGATCCAGTGGTGCGCTCATGCAAGCCCAAACCACCCGGATGAGTGTGCAGGCGAAAACGCGGTCTGGGGAGCCGCAAGTGCGCCGAACGTGGTCTATCCTTCAAGTTTGTCCCAACAGGCCTCTGACAGGCCACGGCGTGCAGATCACTGCGTTCTGGCGCAAGAGATACATGCTGCAGGCCCTGAGAAAGAAACATCTGCATCGAGACGCTGGTGCAGAGACACGATATGCGAAAGCGGCGGTGCAGTGCGTCTCTCCGATACCGGCAGCGCCGAATGAGGCTGGTTTCATCCAATCGCCATAGCTTAGATTCCTTATGCGCCACGACCACAGGTGCATGTCTCGGGCCAACGACGGCGCGTCCATGTGCACCGTCTCGGCCGGGGCAGGATGTGAATGCCCGTGGCCGGCATGTTGGGCTGCTGCGTCATCCGAAGACGAAGGCAAGGAGAAGGATGTGGGCCAGCCGCTGCAGTCACGTCGAAGCAACCGCGCATGTAGCGGCGTGTGTCGGGGAGGACGTGCCATGCGCGCGCGAGGCGTCAAACGAGAGATGAGATCGCCGTGTCTGCTCGAGCCTCGTGGCTCTGTCAGCGATCAGGATGGTGGGTGCAAAGCCTAGAAAGCGCTGGATTCTTTGATGAGGTGAGGGGACGCGCTGTGCGCGCGTGGGGCGTAAATCGAGAAATGAGATCGGATTCGAGGACGCTCGTGTTTGAGAACGCAAACTCGCGCTAGTAAGTGGGAGAGGAAGCGTCATGCGCGAGTGGAGGCGCAAGCAAGAAATGGGATCAGACTCGACGAGCGTCGTGGTTGTGTCGGCGATGATCCGCCGCCGCCGAGACTGCACAGCATCGCCCGATGCTCCCTCCTGGAACTGTGCCCCGCTGAAGGATAGCGTCTCGAAATTGGCACACGGCGGAAAACAGGTGCACAATGTCGGGGCATAATGTTTCTAGCTTGCTGAGCACGCCTAGATGCACCCCGCGGGCGACAAATCGTACTCGAGCGGTTTGCTTGAGTCCATCCAACAACGAGCACCAGGCAGGCGGTGTTTGGGCCGTTCAGCTTTGGTCGTCAGCGTAGGCGTCTTCTTTGTGCAGATAGACAGCTCGTCCTGTTCGCGCCGGGAGAGTAGGATTCCTTGCTTTCGCGCTGCGACCGTTAGTCCATGCCTCGTTCCGAGCTGGCACGGCTGGCCCGCTCCACCCGAAGCCTGCTAATCGATATCCCACGATAACGCATCGTGCCAGGCCGTTCTTTCTCAAGCTGTGTCTGGTGCCGCGCTTATCCTCCTGTCCCGCCGGTGCTTAGTCCATACCTTGCTCTGTGAATTTGGGCGAATGAAGTACTGCCCAACGGGGCCGCGCCAGTAGGAACCTTGCGCACAATCACTGCTCATTCCGGCCAAACCGCGGCATCTGCGACGCTCATTGCCTCCGCCGACGACGAGTACACGGATTCGTGTTTCCGTAACATTCCCGTGGGTGTCATCGGTGTCATTGTCGACTGGCACGATTTGCTGGCTGTTTGTGCCAACAGGGATGAACATGCGCCCCGGCGGAGCCAGCTGCTCGACCAGAGCGTGTTTGCGCTCATCCTAGACGACCCGACATTCGAATGGCTTCGCGCAACACCCGTATTCGTGTCTTGAGCTGCAGGGGACGGCAGCTGAACGGCATCCAGGCAATGGTGTGGATCAACGCGAGGTCATGGTCGGCACCGATGGACTGCAGACTTGCCCCTCGTGTTGATTGCTTCAGTGCACGGGGATGCCACAGCTTGAGGGTCTGGTCTTCCGGTTGATTGGGCGTAGTAGCGCTGAAGATCCGAGTATAGGTCTCACAGAGCCAGAGAACGTAGCACGATGATGCATGGCAGCTGCCACATTCCAGACTCGTGACCAAGGCCTCACGTGGTCTGACGCCCTCCTTTCTCCGATCCATTTGAACGAAAGGCATCTGTGAACAGCCAGTTTCATTTCGATGGGAGCCGTATCCCTCTTAGAATTGGCGTGCCCTGACTCCATGGCGAAGTGCGAATTCGATCCGATATTGCTGCAGAGTGCGCCAGTGTCGTGCACCCAGGGAGAGCCGACTCGGGCCGGATGAAAGGCAAGCGTGTACGACATGACCAGGCATCGGATTGGCCTGGAAGTACGACTTCGGGAAGAGCTATGAGCGAAGGGACGATGGCATCACGTCTTATCAACCAAGTACGACGAGCCTATCTGACTATGCACTCTCCCTTTCGACACCATACGTCTGGTTGGATCTTCATGACCTCCCGTTCGCTCACTGATGCTCTACGGCGACTCATCGACATATGTGCGCCTCTTAGGACCGACATTGTCTCAGAAGTACCGATGGACTGCCATGCCTAGGATGCGCCGCCGGCCAAATTGACTGCGTGCGAGCTTGCGTGTGTGTGGATGAATCCGCTACATTGGCGTTGGGCGCTTAGTGTCTGTGAGCCGGGGCATTGTTCCAACGAGGCAGTGGGTATAAAGAAACGCTGCTCGAACATGAGGCAAAGCACTTTACCCCCTGACTTTGAACATGTCACAAGCTGAGAAAGCACAGGCCGACCAACAAAAGGCAGAAGAAGAGCGCATCGAGCGCGAGAGGGCGAGCGGGAACAAACTCTGGAGCGCCTACATCACCGAGGCGCAAAACTACGATCAGGGACTCCTCGAAGGCTGGCGCAGTGAGATGGATGGTATGCTGATCTTCGTGCGTCTCCGACCGTTCTTGATCCTGGCCACCCTCTGAATCTCACTTATCAGGCCGGTCTCTTCTCGGGCGTTATCACGACTTTCATTATCGATAGTTACAAGACGTTGAACCCCGACTCGGGGAGTCAGACTGTCGTACTCCTCAGCCAAACGGTTGCACTCCTTGGCCAGATCTCGGTCCAGCTCGCGCACATGAACAACGGGACTGCAATGGCGGATGCACTCCCTCCCGCCGCTGCCTTTTTGCCGCCGGTCTCCTCTCTTGTCTGCAATGTGCTGTGGTTCACCAGCCTCGCACTCAGCTTGTCGAGCGCCCTTGTTGCGACACTGGTCAAGCAGTGGGCGCAGGAGTATCAGCACCGGACATCGATGTTCTCGTCTCCCTCGGTCCGCGCGCGTGTGTACATGTATCTGTACTACGGCCTACGACGGTTCAATATGCATGCTGTTGTCGGCGTTCCCCCGCTTCTCTTGCACGCAGCACTCCTCCTGTTCTTCGCGGGCCTCGTTGCCTTTCTTGTCCCCATCAACGTCATCATCATGAGCATCTCCTCCGCTCTTCTACTCCTCTTCATCTCGGTCTATGCGACGTTCACTGTACACCCGCTGTTTTTCCTCGACAGTCCGTTCCAGACACCACTCACACGCATCCTCTGGCTCCTGAATCAAAGCTTGGGACGCCCGCTGAGGGTTTATATTTGGAGGGCTATGGCTAGTTGCAAGGCCTTCATCCGAGCCAAAGTCGCGCTGTCAGACCCCGAGAAAGCCACGGAATCTGCTGTGACGGGCCCTGGCGTCTCTGGCGAGGCTGAAGACACGCATCCGCAGTCCCAGAGCATGATTGTGGCCATGAAAACAGCTGCACTGCATCCCGCTGTCGAGACGGAGATCCGGGCGCTCACGTGGACCATCCGGTCTCAATCTGACGACGATGATCTTGAGCGACTGGTCGTGGGGCTCCCTGTGTTGTGGGATTTCGATCGAAATGTGCCTCGTAGCGTGTACGTGGGGCATTTCCAGAAGCTGTTGTGGGATCCGGAAATCCATCTCTGCCAGCGTCTCGGCGATTTCATGGTCGGCTCCACCAGCAATCTGCTTGAAGACAAAGACCGCCTCCGCCGCCAGCTGTCCGTGCTCCGGGCCATCTGGGCCATCTGCGCGTTCTCCCTTCACACGGGATTGCCTCTGACCAACCCGATCGGAGACACCGACGTGGACAACGCGTTGCTCAGCTCCAAGTTTCATGCTTCTCCTGATGTGCAGAGCATGGTCCCTGCCGTGTCCGCTTTGATCCGTCTGAACGAGATCCAGTCTCGGAACCGGGAACGGGCCTCCACACAGCCGAGCAACTCTGACGCCGAAGCGGAGGAGCGACGGCACGCAGACATGCATCGGACGTACACGGATTATCTGGTGGCACTTTCCAAATGCGCTGCCGGCTTCCAACGGGATGTGACCATGACGTTCATTGATCCGCCGCAAATGCGCTTCACGGAAGCGGACGGCTACACAACTCTGCATTCCGCTCTCGGAGAGCTGATCGAATCCGCGTTGGGCAAGACAGCGGACGAGACAGCGGACAACGTCGTCTTTGCTGCTCGCCTGTTGATCAGCCCGTTTGCCCACACATCGTATTATCCGTATCTGTTCCTGTGGCGTGTTAATCTTGGGGCGTTCCTTGTCCGCCATCCGACCCTCGCCGTCTCCGAGCCGGAATCCGACTCGAAGCATCATTACACCCGATATCTGTGCCACATGCTATGCAGGAACTTGAAGAACAAAGAAAATCCCCAGGAATCTGTCGACGCCCTCCACCTGATTTATTGGAATTTGCTCGAGTCTGATAGAGACTTTGATACTCATCTTCTTGTCCTCCGCACTCTGCAGAATGAAGCAGGCGACATCGGCACACACCGTTTGGCTGCCATCGTCCAGTCTCTCGTGCTCAACAGTTTCAATGATTCATCAGAACGGGAAAAAATGCAGAGTATCTTCAGCAACGAGGGCTGGTTCCGCTCCGTGCTCGGCCTTGACAACGATGGACTGACGGAGCAGGCATCGGCGCAGCAAATTTACGCCTGTGCACGTGTGGGTGTTTTGACCACTTTCTTCGAGCAGTGTGCCGCCCGGAGTCCGGACCAAACAGAGCGGGACGCGGACTGGGAGACGCTCCGATTGGTGCCACGCCACGCAGACTGGTTCATTTGTTCTGTGATCCCGACTGGACTACAACGCCGATATGCCGACGCCGCTTCTGCATTCATGCGCAAATATCCAGAAAACTGTCTTGCGGATGGGACTGGGCTCTTCCGGGCGCTTTTCTGGGCCGTCCATGAGCGCTTCGGGTGGATGACTGATGTGGATGTATTGCGCGTCGTGGACGTGGCTGTGTCGGAGGTGCAGAAGGACGATCAGCAGGAATCACACCGGGACCGCGCTCAATGGATCCGGGAATGGATACAGAACCGGCTCGCGTCTGTCCCGCTCGTCATCGCTCGTCAGTGACGGGGAGTAGGAGGGTGTCATTTCCATTGCTTTAGCCTCCAATCCATGTATTCCGTATGTTCAACGAAATCATCTTTGCCGCGTCCAAGATATGTACATATGCAAACAGACACCTTTGTCACGGTCACACACATCGGATCGTCCACGCGACATGTCACACAACTCTCTCGATTGCGCAAATCCAAGAACAAGTACCAGGAAGGCAGTCTTTGGGAAAGCTGCCGTTGGGGATCACACATCCGACCCATCTGAGACAGGAACACTTGCAACTGCGTCCTCAAACTAGGGGGCAGCCCACATGCACAATGGTAGACCGGCAGGAACGTCGGCGCAAACGGGGTCTTCTCGGTACCATTCGGATAGTTGGGGCAACACTTGCGACTGCGTCCTCAAACTAGGGAGCAGCCCACATCACCGAAGACACCGATATTCTCCGAGAAAATGTACTCGCGCATGCCAACGGTCGCAACGGGAGTCTGCCCGAGCTCTTTTGCGTCCCACCACCGAGAACACGCGTTGGTCTCGTTCGTCTGTCTGTAGCCCCTCGATTTCACTGAACATATTCCCGATCTTGAAACTGTCGCTGCGTGTCACGAAGGCGAAGGCGAGGAGGAGGACGTGGCTGGCCGCTGCTGTCGCCGTCGCCGGTACTTCTACGGCTACTCGTAGGCGGACCGGTCTGGTATGCCGGTCGAAACTGCCCGTGCGACAAAGCCAGTGGGGCATGAGAGCGCGCATGATGTCGTGGATGTGGTTGCTGCTGCCGCCGTCGCCGCATTCGTAGCTCCCCTCAGGCATCTCTTCTACAGCTCCCAGACGAAGCTATTCCTCGAGCCGCCGCGGCCGATGCTCTTCCTCCGCCTCCTGCTGCTGGCAGTCGAGCTCGTAGCTCGTCGAAACGTAGTGGCCAAGCACGCAGGTGGGTCCGTCCATGCAAACTGCACTGGTTGTCCGTAATGCATCCCTAGCTGAAGTGCTCCGCTGCCAGCAGGAATTCGTAGCCGTAAGTCATTCTATTGGCATTGTCCTTGTGAATGGTGACAGCGTGTCGATATAGACGACTCGGCCAAGTACGGATGCGCATGCCCGTTGCTGGCATGCCAGGAAAAGGCAGTCGAGATGCACTATTGTAGCCAGCCAGGAACGACGGCGCCAAGTGGCTTGTGATACGATCATCAGGGTAGTCGGAGGTGGGGTGTGCAAACAAGAATTGGAGAACGCAGATCTCCCCTGAAAAGGCGCGCCGGGGACAGTAATGGTCTGGAAAGTGGGACGTCACGAGTGAGCGAGATCGAGCTCGGTGCATTCGACTGACACAGGCCAATCTAATGCTGCGGAATCAGACCCTGAAACCGAAGTGCAATGAATCGGCCTACGCAATGTGCTAGTCTTCTAGACCGCCCGAAGCTGGTTGCGTCTTCCTGTTGACCATCGACAGCTCGTCATTTCAGCCCGGGATGGCTCGAAGAAGTTGTGCGGGAGCCCGTTACGCAATGCATCAAGATGTAGCGCTCATGTGGGGGGTCGCCGGATGCTCCGCACGCTCTGGAGCTAGGGTATGACAATGGGAAGTTGAGTAAAAGCGGATTGAAAGTCGACACCTCATCCCAAGCTCATCGGGTTCCGGGGCACAGCTGTCATTGTCGACGTGCCAGAGAGCTCATCATCGCCCATCGTCACAAGTTCGAGAGGGAGAGGACCGCCAGCAGAATCGCACTTGGGGTGATTCGAGTCGTTTGATGGTAGTCCTGAGACAAGTGATCATTCAGCTCTCTCCAACGCACTCCAAGACACAATATACCTACGCGTAAACTCTTGCAGAATTGTAGCAGCATGGTCCCAACACATGGACCCACCCCACGGCTCTTTGATGAGTGTTACTTTGTGTCCACCAAGCCTGATCGCACCTAGTACTTCGCTCCACTTCCTCGGCCACACCCGCTCCAGCGAGAGCACCTTGTGGAACAGCGTGATTGGGCTCGAGTTCAGATGCCGCTGCAAGGCCACCGACAGCGCGTGAGCCTTGTACCGCTGTGGTGTGAATCGCCCTGGGCCGACATGTCCTGCGGCCACCTCCTCAGCACCGCGCTGATCATCCCATTCTCCAGGACGACTGCCCCGTCAGACCCTCCGTATTGCGTGTCGCCACGTCGCTTCTGCGCCGTATCTGATCCCGTGTGCGTATGCAGCGCCACGTGTATGTGTGTGTGTGTGTGTCCCGTTCGCCCGCGGTGTCAATCAAGAAATGCGTTCCTCCTGGAGTTGGGCCTCGCTGTAGGAAAGCGTCTCGAGGTTCGGGCATAGCATCTGCGTCGCGCTCTCCGAGTTGGGCGACGGGACGAGAAACTCGAGCGTGTCGTCCGTGCACGGCGAATTCGAGCGCGCAAACCTGCGCCAGGTAGTGGGAGAGGAAGTGTCGTGCGTGGGTGGAGGCGTCAAGCAAGAAATGAGCATTGAGATCAGACTCGACGAGCGCCGTGGCTGTGTCGGTGATGATCCGCCACCGAGACTGCACAGCATCGCCCGACACCCCTCCTGGAACTGAGCCCCACTGGAGGATAGCATCTCAAAATTAGCCCACGGCATGTGTGTCGTGCTCTCCGAATCGCGCGGTGGCCCGACAGACTCAAACACGTCCTCCGTTCATAGCGAGCCCAAGCACGCGAATTGGCGCACAGCGGGAAACAGCCGCGCGATGTCCGTGGCGGAGTCTTTCCAGCTCGCTGAGTACACTTGGATGCGCCCCGTGGGCAACAAATCGTACTGGAGCGGTTGGCCCGAGTCCATTCGATAACGAGCACCAGGCAGGCGGTGTTTGGGCCATTCAGCTTTGGTCGTCAGCGTAGCCGTCTTCCCTGTGTAGATAGACAGCTCGTCCTGTTGGCGCTGGGAGGGCTGGGTGGTGTTTTGAGAGATCCAGTTGCGCGATTCTTCGAGCAGATCAGCGCCCGTTTTGCCAACTGCCCGGCGATCGCCACAAACTTACCTGTTCTACAGCTAGGGCATGTTCAGGCGAGACATGACGATCTGTACACGTGGGGGCTGAAGAGGCAGAACAACAGTCACGAAGAACCATCCATCGATGCAGGGAAAGAGTGTATCTGCAGCAATCTCAGACAGAAACACTTGGAATCGCTTCCTCGGAGCAAAAAGCGATCGACATCCATTCCGGAAGGCCGGCGCAAAAGGGCTTGTGATAGGATCATTGGAGTGGCTGCAGATGGGATTTGCGAAGGATCAGACAATGCAGAGAGGCGCTGGATGTGTGTATGAGAAAGATGCGCGTCTATCCTGAGGGCACGCACTAGAAGGTCGATGCATCGTCGGCAACCAGCGAATCGTGAGGACCAAAAGTGGGATCTCGGCGGGGTGCGCATGAAGATTGAGGGGCACCATCCTCGGCCGGCGCTTGATGTCTTGAGAATAGCTGCCATTCCACGACAGGCAGCGCGTATATCGGCAGCAGGCGTGTTGCCAGAGCCTGAGAATCTTAATGACCTTTATACTCTGCGCCATTTGAGTAGACAGCCCAAGGATAGCCCCGGTGCTCTCGATGCTGTGTTCTCTCCAGCACACACGCCCTCGCATCGTGGACAGAGGAGGGAAGCGGTTGTCCGTCACCCAGTGCATGAAAGCGTAATGATTGAGGATTAACGCCGAGTTGTGGGTGGTACCAATGAGGGGTGGATTGACCCTTGTGTCGTCTGCCCTGGGTGGATCGGAATGCCACAGCGGCAGTAGCTCGGCGTCTATATCAACGATAGGTCACGGTGGAATGCCCCTCGTGTCGATTGCTTTCACGCCTCAAGTTACCGCGGCTGTAGAGTTGACTTGGGGTGGGGGCGCCAAGGAATCACGGCGCTTGCGCCAACTAGAGCCCACACACACGGCTTCTCTCCTCGTGGAGTGCGAGACGGCCATTCCCAAAGTCGAGGTCGATTCCTGATACGTCGGCTGAGAACGGATGTGCAGGATGTCGTCGTTGCTGCAGTGCTAAGTGACCACATTCAAGATTCGTGACGAGCTTGATGGAGTGTGACAGCACGTGTCTCTTCCAATCCACTTCAAACGAAAGGCGTTTGTGAACAACTGATTTCATTTCGATGTGGACAGTATCGCTCTCAGGATGGGTATGTGCTGCATCCATGATGAAGAATGGCATCTTATCTGATATTGCTCTCAGCCGAGGTCAGGAAGCTCGGAGCTCTGGACTGCCTGACAAGACATCGGATTGGCTATGAGCCTATGACAGTGGGACATCGAGAAGAGCTGCGAGAGAACATGATATCGCATGTGACCAAGTACAATGGGCGCATCTGAGTCTGCTCGCCCCTTTTCGAAACTACGCGTCTCGTTGGATTTCAACGACCTCACATCTGCTTACTGATATTCTACGACGACTCATGCACACATATGCACACCTCCTGGGACAGGCGCCGTCTTCCTAGTGCTTGACGAAACCTGTTCATCTCCAGGAAGCGCAGATGGCCTGCCATGCCCTGGGATACGCCACCGGCCAATCTTTGTGCCGCCCGAGCTTTCTTTGGCTTCCTTGAGCGTCTGTGTCTAAATCCGCCACTCTGGCGCTGGGCGCTTGGTGGCTGTGAGCCGTGGCATTGTCCTGGTGAGGCAGCGTGCATGAAGAACCGCTGCTCGAACATGAGGCGAAGCACTTCACCTCTTACCTTTGACCATGTCACCAGCTGCAAAACAACAGGCCGACGAAGGAGCGGTCGAAAAATCGCAGACCCACGGATCGCAGTCCGGTGAAAGACTGCCCGCGGAACCGCAGACTGACGAATCACAGTCTGAAGAATCGCAGGCCGACGAATCGCAGGCCGACGAAAGACAGTCTGAAGATTCGCAGACCAAGGAATCGCAGACCGAGGAATCACAGACCGAAGAATCACAGGCCGACGAACCACAGTACGATGAACCACAGCCTCCAGAAGTGCAGACCAAGGGAGCACAGGCCGATCAACGACAGGCAGAAGAAGAGCGTCTCGAGCGCGAGAGGGCCAGTGGAAATAAACTTTGGAGCGCCTACATCGCCGAGGCGCAAAACTACGATCAGGGTCTCCTCGAAGGCTGGCGCAGCGAGATGGATGGTCTGCTGATCTTTGTGCGTCTCCGACCGTTCTTGATCCTGGCCACCTTCTGAATTTGACTCGTCAGGCCGGTCTCTTTTCGGGCGTTATCACGACTTTCATCATTGACAGTTACAAGACCCTGAACCCCGACTCGCGCAGCCAGACCGTCGTGCTCCTTCGCCAGACCGTCATACTTCTCACCCAGATCTCGCAACAACTTGCGAACATGAACAACGGGACTGCGATGGCGGACGCACTGCCTCCCGCCGCTGCCTTTTCGCCGCCGGTCTCCTCTCTCGTCTGCAACGCACTTTGGTTCACCAGCCTCGCATTAAGCTTGTCGAGCGCATTCATCGCGATGCGGGTCAAGCATCGGGTGCAACACTTTCCCCACCGCACGGCCATGTTTCCCACCGTCTTCACCCAGTCATGCATGTGCATGTACCTTCACGGCGGTTCGCGACGCTTCAATGCCAAGGCCCCTCTCCTTCTCCTGCACGCGGCACTGGTCCTATTCTTTGTGGGTCTTGTGGCGTTTCTTGCGCCCGTTAGCGTCATCGTCATGAGCATGTTTGCCGCTATCCTCCTCTTCTTCACTGTTTTCTATGGAATATTCACCGGATACCCATCCTTGCTTGGGATTGTTTACGCTAATCCGTTCGGTCCCTGCCTCTACTCTACTGATGTTTGACAAAGTTTAAATAGGAGTAGGTTGTTCTGAAGTTCTTGTCATACCCATACCTAAACTAATAAACGATTCAAGAATACGATGTTTTCTGTTCTATATCATGCTCATGTACACGGGCAGGACATCAGCCTAGGGACTGGCGACGATATTTCGTGAACGCTGCGAGATAGTCCTCAGCCGTTTCGAGCGCAAGCTCGAGCGCCCGGGTCTGCGGGGTTCACGGGCCGCCCCGGGTCCCCCACTCCGCCAGGTGAGCATCATGAAGCTGGATCGGGACACGATCCCATCGATCCTCGACACGCTCGACGCAGCCCAGCCCTGAAGCAATATCTTCCCACTGTGCACGATAGCTTCCCTCGGCGCCATAATACCGCTCCTGCAACGTAGCAGTCAGCTGTCCTCCCACGACAGGACGCGCGAGACAGGCTCTGCAGAATCGAGAACCCGTTCAACAAGCGCGTGTTTTGCTTCGGGATCCGCTGCGCCTAGCACAGATACTCCTGCGCTGCACAGGCCCGAGGCCGAAGCCCGGCTTAGCCAGCGCGTTGATGCGGTTGCCCCACTTGCAGCTGCGTGCACCGATGTGCTCCGTGCCGATGATGCGCAGCGTGAAGCCATGCGAGTTGCGAAGCGGCGTGCCGTCGATCTCCCACGCCAGTAACACCCCGGACGCGCAGATCATGTGGGCATGTAAGCACGGTATTCGAAGTGCAAGTCTGCGCCAACGAACCCTGCACTCGGGCAGGACGCCCTCACAGGTGATGCTGGTGCGTCCAAAGCGGAGGCGCGGTCAACCGCATTCGTTGCGCGCGCTAAACGCCGACGAGCGCCGGAGAGGCAGCTCAGTCGTGTGTGACAGTGGCTACGCCGTTATCGAGCAAGATAACTGCGTCTGCCTAGGCGCTGCCTCGTCCGTGTGTCGCGTCAAAGGTGGCTCGTGCAACAGATGAGCTGAGAAGGAGCGCGCTAGTAACCTGCCGCTTCCCGTGTCGCTGAACCAATGATACACTTCAACGCGGCAAACACACGTTGTCCGGTGTGGCAGGGACAGTGGACACCCGGGGAGCGCTTATAGTCACGGCGAATGTGTGAGAGACGCGTCGCGTGGATATACGGAGCATGACACACAGCGAGCTGGTTCAATAAGCGGAGTAGCAGGCAGAGGTTGATTTGCTTCCCATCGTGTGTCCGCAGCAGGTTGCTGTCTCGGACGCGAAAGCGAGCGATACCTCCTCAGCTGCCAGCGACGTGCAGGGGAATCACAGTCCAGTCCAGACAGCGTCTCCCAGCAAGACCTTTGATCCCGGTCTGATACGACGACCATCATCGAGACCTCGACGGAACCAGATCCAATCCGAAGCTTGAGGCTAGGCTTGTCACTGCAGGTCGCGCAACACCACTCGAGGTCTACAGGAAAGCCCCTGTTCCTATTGTCACCCGCAATCTCAAGAGGCGCAGTCAGTGGATGATCCAGACGACTGTCGATCGGCTTTCTGACCCGAATGACATCTTGAATGGGACAAGGATGAGTGATATCTCAGGACGAGAGCGACGATGCGCTGACCGATACAAGCATGAAACCGGCGGGCCAATCCCGCTGAGAGAGTAGCCGTCTGTGCTCGATCCGCGGCTATCCAGGAGCTGGACAGCATTCTCAAGATGGGCTGCGATTGCAGGTGCATGGCTCGTTCAGAGCTGGCGCAGATTGCCCACTCTTCCCAAAACCTGCCAGTCGACGTCCTACGACAACACGCAGTCCCATGCCGCTCTTTCTCAAGCTGTGTCCGGGCCGAGAAGCCTGACCCCCTATCCTCCTGTCCCGCCGGTGCTCAGTCCAGCCCGCGCCCTCTGGATCTGGACGAATGAGAGAAGTCCTGTCCAACGTGAACGTGCCAGTATGAACCTTGCGCGCAATCACTGCTCGTCCCAGCCAAGCAGCGGCATCTGCGACGCCTATCGTCTCCGCAGACGGCAAGCACATGGATCCGTGTTTCCGTAATGTTCCCGTGACCGGCGCAGTCGACTTGCGCGATTTGCTGAGGGCCCGTTCCAAAAGTGATGAGCATGCGCCCCGGCAGAGCCAGCTGTTCGACCAGAGCCTGATTGCGCTCATCCTCGGCGACCCGACCTTCGACGGGTATATCTCCCCATGCTCTGGCAACCTGAAATTGTCCGCCGCCAGCCCAAACATCGCGCAGCCCCGCGGTCCGACGCTGACTGGAATGCTCCCCCGCCAGCCCACTGGTGTCGTTGCTGCTGCTGAAAGTGTGTTGCCAGCGACGACACATCCTAGTCCCCTGTCTCAGGAGTTGATCGACCAAACGGGGTGGGGTGCAAATGCCGTGGCGAGCCACACTGATACAAGGACGAAGGTGGGGAGGAGAATGTGACCGGTCGCCGCCGCCGCATGCGAAGCTTTTTCTGACGCATCTCTTCGACATCTGGCAGGTCAAGTTGGATGCGCATGTGTGGCGTCTCGTGGCTTTGTCAGCAATCATCGCCGATGAGGATTTGGGATGCAAAGCAGTGTTGGTAAGCCTAGAAAAGCGCTGGATGCTTTGATGAGGTGAGAGGATGCGCTGTGCGCGCGTGGGGCGCCAATCGAGAAACGAGATCGGATTCGAGGACGCTCGTGTTTGAGGACGCAAACTCGCGCTAGTAAGAGCGAAAGGAAGTGTCATGCGCGGGCGGAGGCGTCAAGGCAAGAAGTGAGATCAGACGCGATGAGGGTTGTGGCTGTGTCGGCGATGATCCGCCGCCGAGATTGCATAGCATTGCCCGATGCTCCCTACTGCAAATGGGCCCCGCTGAAGGATAGCGTCTCAAAAGTGGCACACGGGGGAAAACCGGTGCACAATGTCGGGGAAGAATGTTACCAGCTCGCTGAGCACGCTTGGATGCACCCCCGCAAGCGACAACTCGTAATGGAACGGTTTGCTGGAGTCCATCCAATAACGAGCACCAGGCAGGCGGTGTTTGGGCCGTTCGGCTTTGGTCGTCACCGTAGGCGTCTTCCCTATGTAGGTAGACAGCTTCTACTGTTCGCGCTGGGAGGGCTCGGCGGTGTTGTGAGAAATCCAGTTGCACAATTCTGCGAACAGATCAGCACCCATTGTGTCAGCCGCTAAGTCATCGACACAAACTTACCTGTTCTGGAGCTAGTAGATCATGTTCAGCCAAGACAGCACAATTTGTACGCGTTGGGGCTGAAGAGGCGGATAAACAGACACGAAGAACTATCGACCTTTACATTCTGAGCCATTTGAGTTTGCAGCCCAAGGATAGCACCGGTGCTCTCGATGACGTATTCTCTCCAGCACACACACCCTCGCATCGTGGGCAGAGGAGGGCGGCGGCTGTCTGTCACCCAGTGCACGACAGCATACAATAATGTGGATCAGTGCCAGGCTGTAGGTCGTACCAATGAGGGGTGTCTTGACTCTCGTGTGGATTGCCCTGGGTGAATCAGAATGCCACAGCGGCAGTAGCTCGCCGTCCAGATCAACGTAAGGTCGCATTGGACTGCCCCTCGTGTCGATTGCCTTCACGCCTCAAGTTACCGCAGCCGCACACAGAGTTGACTTGAGGTGAGAGCGCCGAAGAATCACGGCGCTTGCGCCAACTAGAGCCCGCACACACGGGTTGTCTCCTCGCTTAGTACGAGACGGCCGTTCCCAAAGTCGAAGTCGATTCCCGATGCGTCGGCTGAGAAGTTAGAACGGGTGTGCCGGATGTCGTTGTTGCTGCAGTGCTACTCGCATTCGAGGTTCGTCACGAGCGTGATGGGGTGTGACAGTACATGTCTCTTCCAATCCACTTCAATCGAAAGGTGTTTATGAACAACCGATTTCATTTCGATGTGGACAGCGTCACTCTCAGGATGGGCGTGTGCTGCATCCATGGTTAAGAATGGAATCCTATCTGATGTTGCTGTCGGCCGAGGTAAGGAAGATCGGAACTCTCGACTGCCTGACAAGACATCAGATTGGCTATGAGTCTATGACAGTGCGACTTTGAGAAGTGCTGCGAGAGATGGGACGATTGTATCACATCGTATACAACCGAGTACGATGGGCCTGTCCGAATCTACTCTTTCCTTCTCGAAACTATGTGTCTCGTTGGATTTCAACGACCTTACATCTGCTTACTGATAATCTACAGCAACTCATTCACAAATACGCGCCTCCTGGGACCGGTACTGTCTCACCAGGGCTTGATGCCATCCGTCCATCTGCCAGAAGCGCCGATGGCCTACTATGCCCCAGGATAGTAGATACGCCGCCGGCCAATCTTTGTGCCGTCCGAGCTTTCTTTGGCTTGCTTGAGCGCCTATGTCTGAATCCGCCACTCTGGCGCCGAGCGCTTGGTGGCTGTGAGCCGTGGCATCGTCCTGGTGAGGCAGCGCGTATGGAGAAACGCTGTGCAACACGAGACACGGCAGTTTCCCTCCCGCCTTTGACCATGTCGCGAGCTGAGAGAGAACAGGCCGACCAACGAAAGGCAGAAGAAGAGCGTGACGAGCGCGAGAGGGCCAGCGGGAACAAGCTCTGGAGCGCCTACATCGCCGAGGCGCAAAACTACGATCAGGGTCTCCTCGAAGGCTGGCGCAGCGAGATGGATGGTATGCTGATCTTCGTGCGTCTCCGACCGTTCTTGATCCTGGCCACCCTCTGAATCTCACTTGTCAGGCCGGTCTCTTCTCGGGCGTTATCACGACTTTCATTATCGATAGTTATAAGACACTGAACCCCGACTCGGGGAGTCAGACTGTCGTACTCCTCACCCAAACGGTTGCACTTCTCGGCCAGATCTCGGTCCAGCTCGCGCACATGAACAACGGCACTGCAATCGCGGACGCACTGCCTCCCGCCGCTGCCTTCTCACCCCCGGCCTCCTCCCTGGTCTGCAACGCACTCTGGTTCACGAGTCTTGCGCTCAGCTTGTCGAGCGCCCTTGTTGCGACTCTTGTCAAACAGTGGGCACAGCAGTACCAGCACCGGACGTCCATGTTCTCGTCTCCCTCTGTCCGTGCGCGCGTGTACATGTATCTTTACTACGGCTTACGACGCTTCAATATGCATGTCGTGGTCGGCGTTCCTCCGCTTCTCTTGCATGCAGCACTGCTTCTGTTCTTCGCTGACGGCGAGTGGAGTAGTAATCGCAGAGGGTGCCATTTTCCATTGATTTAGCCTACAATCCATGTATTCTGTACGCTCAACGAGATCCTCTGCACTGCGTCCAAGACCCTCCGTCGATTACGTATGCAAATATACACCTTTGTCACCGTCACACATATTGGATCATCCCCGCCATATGTCACAGAACTCTCTCGATTGGGCAAATCCAAGTGTGAGCACCAGCAAGGTGGTCTTCTGTGTTGAAGCTTGTTTGTATTAGCAACTATCACAGTATGTAGACATGACATCATAAGTAGTATTCTTAGATTACTTTGGCTCGCTCCACAATGACCTCATACCTGACCTCATTATTGCGTCATCCATTACTCATCTATGATATCATTACTCCACTATGACATCATGATATCTGCTCCAGACTGGTATATAAACCTAGTACTATACACTCCATATCCTCAGCTCCTGTGTCTTAAACTCGCTGAGGTATGCATTCTCCCTTATGATCTAATGACCCTTACTTATGACTTGTACCACAGACTCTGTGTCTTTAGGTACAGCTAATGTAAAGCTCCTGTGTCTTACACTCGCTGAGACTCTGTGTCTTTAGGTGATCGCTACTGGTCGTATCTCCACTGCGCGGTATTGTCTGCGACAGGTTATGGGCCCCGCCTGAACCACTAGCCCAGATCAAGAAACATCGAACTACTCCCTTTGCTAAGGCGAGTATCTTTCACTCGTTCAGCCCTTCTAGAGCGCCGTCTTTGTGTGCTCGTCCCACTTGCTGGATGTCGGTCCTCGCATTTGTGCTCTCACCCTCAAGGGGTTACGCGAGCGGCGTCAGGGAGTCATTCAGTTGGCAGACACGCCGTTAGCTATTCCGTCCATGATTGCTCGCGCGCGTTTTACGTTACATCTTTTTATTGTACAGCGGACATACCCACCAGGCACTGGTCCTTTGGTCAATCCCACTCCTGAACCTTGCGCGAAGCGCCTAGGTGGTGTGGTAGCTCTCAACAGCTGCTGGAGGTCGATCCCTCCGCCAGGCAAAACAATCCTTCGGGGTTGACTCGCATTCCTCACAAGGGACCCTGCGGGCTGGTGACACTACGAGGATTCATGCAATGACGCTCTGCGTGTATGCATGTCTTTAAAAGGGAGAAGATGGGCGGTCAAACCCGGTGCTTGGGACGGCCTTGGGCACGTGTCCCTTGGCCAGTGACGGACTGCGAGGGCAGTAATCACCGTCGGGTACTGCCGCCGCTGACGTATATAGTTACGTTACTTTGATACAAATATGGGCACTTACTATACCGCTTTATTTCGTTATCATTCCCCGCGCGTATATGGGCATCATGGATGGGATGGGGACGCTTGGTCGTTTTTGTTTCAGAGATTTGGCACTTGGGATTTGTTTCTTGGTCTGCAGAGAATCTGGGGCTGACTTTGTCGCTCTAGTCTCCATCTCTATCACCCTGTCATCACCAAACGATCCTCCTGTTGGGGTTATTCAATACCCTGTTAACACTTGGGAATTCTTTGGACCTCCCTACCTTCCTCTCTCATCTGTCGCTGACGACGACATCTTTCGAATCGGGGATCTAGAAAATCCAGACAGTTATCAAGAGCAGGGTAACTTCACCACTGCCCTCCACGTTCTGTTTGGCGAGAACCTCGTCGTAGACCCCTCCCTCTACTACCAAATCGAAGACGTCATCGAATTTCTTCCCATCATGTCTGGGATCGAAAAGTTGAACAACAACATCCTGAACATGTTCGATGGCACCAATTGGAACACATGGTCGGACAACTACATGAGCATCTGTATGCATCAGGGGACTTGGGGAGTGGTTAAACCCACTCACATTACGGTTTCTGGAACAAGTGCTCCGAATCCTGGGGCTCTAGGACGACCCACCACTTGTGCGGGTTTACATCACCCAGAATTTGCGCAAGGGAATCTTTATGGACAGTCAACGGGAGCGCACTGCGTGCGAGGTTTTTGCGAAGATGGCGACGGATTATGGCCAACCAAATGCCATCGATGCTTTTGTCGAGTACCGCCTCCTGAACACCACCACCTTCCACGGTGGTGATACCATTGAAAAGCAAATCATGGAAATGGAGACTCGTTGTCGCCAGTGTTCAGAAGGAGGAATCGAGATCCCCGACTACCTCTTCGCAACTCTAATGCTCGCCGCCTTGCCCGCTTCCAGCAGAGGTTTCGTCACCTCTTACCTTGCCAATCGTCCTATCGCTTCTCTGAACCCAGTCGATGTCAAGAACAGCGTCATAGGGAATATCAAGATCGAGAACCTCGACACAATGTCGAACTCGAAGATTTCCACCGTTCCGTCCCTTGCCACCCGCTGCACTCATTGCAACAAGTCCGGTCACGTTGCGGCATCCTGCTACAAGAAGTATCCCAACCTCAAGCCGAATGGTCAATCTTCTGACAAAGGCAAGGGGAAGCAGGATGAGGGGAAGAAGAAAAAGAAGAAGGAGAGGAAGAGTGGTGATGGTACTAGCGCTGTAAAAGAAGTTGTAGCTGCTCCCGCGGTTGCAGCTGCCTCCAATAGAATGCACATTTCGTCCTATCTCATGAGTGACTCCCTCAAACACATCGATGATGGAATTTTTGTTGAAGAAATGGGAGACGACTCCAAAGTTCGTTTTCTATGGGACTTGGGTTGTACACATCATATGACAAACACCCAATCCGATCTTCACAACATCAGACCTATCGACACCTATGTAATCGTTGGGTCAGTGATAGGCTGGCTACCAGACGGGCTCTGCACCAACTCTGTAAGGGCGTATTTTTGCACTTTTTACAGAGTTTACTCTTGAACCACTCGGTGTATCGTGTCGCGGGTGACAGTGTTGTGCTCAGTAGGACTTAAGGGTCTACTGCCCAGTCGACGACTGTGGATAGTGTCGACGATAGCAAGGCAGTCAGACCACTACTGTGGAACTGGTCTTACGAGTCTATACCAGGCTCAGGGCCATTAGTGACGAACGCTTGGACCGCGACCATTCCCCAAAAAGGGATCTGTCGTTGCATCGACTTCTCAAAAAGGGTCATTCTCTGCAGATGGGAACTGGGGCTGAAGGGCTGAGCAATGTGCGACGTTCTCAATAATAAAACTATTACTGGACAGGACTTGGCGTTACAAGATTGAACCAATCTTGTCGCGGCAACTCCCGGTTTTGAGTTGGACGTTTCCTCAGATCGTGCCACGACGACGACGACTCGTCACATGTCAGGATCCATTCGATCACGGGACATTGTGGACGCGTCGCGGTGACACTTCCAAGTGTCACGGCGAGTCGCGCCCATACCCAAACACACTAAAATCGACACGGCTAGATCCGTGGACCGAACCATGTGAGGAACGACTGGCGTGCCTAGGGCCATACGGCTTCTTGGGGCGCCCACGTTGGTCTCACATGCCAAGACATACCCGTTGGCCAATCCAGCACGTCGTATTCCAAAAGTATGACGCGGTGAGTTGGTCCACATCAAAAGTATCATATGGACAATGGGGCGGGGTCCTGATCACTCAGGACCTGTCCGATCGTTCAACTTTTCAGTTACCCTAAAAGGCAACCGATCTTAGATAGCGTAGCTACTATGCAGTTGTACAGGACTTTACTAAGCATCGTCGTAGACAGTATAAGTAGCACGTTGTTTCTTTGTATTAGGAAGCTTTCCCCGGATTGTGAATCACTCTCATTTCAGATTGTGTTGTACAATTTGCGTGCCGCGTGATTCCACCCTAAGAAGTTCTGCTACCCCTGCCCAGTCGCGACGAGTTGCTCCCTGAGCACTTGTAGCTACTGTGATTTGAGTTTGAGTTTTGAGACATCAGAAAGTCGGATTTGCCGCATCTGGTTTAGTCGCGGCATTTAGTGTCGTCGCCCTTTGGGCTTTGTTGAGATCGTTCCACACCTCTAGCTTGGCAGTGCGTCGACTAGTTGTGCTCGGGTTGTTTTTGTCAGTTGGCAGTGCGTCGACTTGAGAACTTTGGTTCCACACTTCTTGCTTGGCAGTGCGTCGACAAGTTGTGCTCGGGTTTTGGACATTGGCTGTTAGTTGGCAGTGCGTCGACTCAGTACTTTTGGTTGTGTCAGTTGGCAGTGCGTCGACTTGACATTTTGGTTTACTGGTTGGCAGTGCGTCGACTCAGTATATTGGTTGTATCGGTTGGCAGTGCGTCGACTTGATATTTGGGCTTTGCGTCACCATCTAGACGCTGTCGCTACAAGGGATCTTAATACTTCGTATCAAGTTCTGACTTGTTATATTGTTGGTTGTGGATTGGATTAGTGTTGGTTGTGCTCGTATAGAAGATATTGGTTGAGATACCATTGTTTGCTATATATATATCCTTGTCGTCGACTTCGTCTCCACGACTATTGGATCTGTGTCTATTGAGAGTTGTGATACTGGTGCTCTGTCCACCCCGGAGCCCTCGCATCTTTCACACACTGAGAAGCTGATTACGAGGAGTGTGAACGTGTTTATATTTGGGTTTACTTTCATAGTAGATTCACTTGTGAGCACGCCCTCAGCATTTCACCGTAAGATAGGCGTCAGTCACTGCCATCGAGCGGGCACGTGATATGTGTCACGTCACATGTCACGCGGCAAAAATCTCGACGCAAAGGTCTCTAGTTGTATTTTCCTCATAATGCGTAGCTACAGTAACAGAGTTGGTATTTGGGTGTCTATTGAGTATCTACTGTCTTTTTAGAAGGTCCAAACTTATCAAATAGAGACATAATGTTGCGGGGAAGGACTCGGTGACCTCGATATCGCTTACTTGCCCAGACAGCTTGATTCGCATCCAAACCCTTTTTGTACGCGTCAATGAACCTTTCTGACCGTGTCGCAAATCTGAGAACAAATAAATTCCAATCCATGGCAATAACGCGGCTGAAATCACGTACTTTCGCATGCTGTCTAGAGGCACAGCATCAAGGGCAGCATTTGCATTGCGTTCGAGGTCGTCCTCGGTAGAGGACATGGGAAACATGCGATAGATTCGCTTTGCGTATCCCCAACACTGTTCGATGAAGTTGCATTCAGGGTGAAACTTTGGAAAAAAGATGACCTCATATCCTCGGGCCGCACAATGTTCTTCGAGCCTGGACTTCTGATCTGAGAAGTCCGGTTGCATGAATAGAATCCGACGACAGCAGCAATCCGTGCGACCCAGAGGACAATTGAAGCCTTTGCATTCGGCTTTGAGCTTTGAGGGGTCTGGGAGATTTGCGCCTTTTGCAATGCGTTCCTGGATCAGAACGCGCATCCCTTTGAAGATGCCAGCTTTGGGATGACCTTGAGGAAAGTACAGAGCTTGAGGCTCGCCGTTCGCAAATGAAGCATTGCGCATGCGAACGGTGACATCCTTTCCATCAACCTTGGCTTTAGCAAACCAGTTCTTCTGCGTGTTCGTCTTCTTGTCGATTCCAGGTGTGTTCATGGGCATCTTCCGAGCAGAGAGAGCATCCGGGGCACGAGCCGTGTGATTTGTGGCGTTGTCATAAGCAAGAACATGCTTCTCGTCAGGATAGTTGGTGTCCAGATAGTCCATCATCGCTGTTGCATGTTCAAGGATCTCCTTGTTCCCGTAATAACCATCTCGATTGGCACCTGGTCGAATCGACATGCGAGCAGCCCAACCGTGATCTGGAGACACAAATGCGATGAACATGAGAGATTTCCCCTCCCCTTTTGGCAACGGCTTTGCGGTCTCGGAGGAAAGAACCCAGCGAAGAGTTCGTCGATCATGCGCATAAAAGATTGACTCGTCGTGTCTCCAGATAACGACAATGCGCCCATCGGGTCCTGCCACAAACACGCATTCTGCATCCTCCTCCCACTCTTCCCACTTGCTCTCCTCAACCTCCTTCTTTGTCCGCTTGTGATTCTCTGTGACCTCGACATCCACACCGTTCCTCTGCGCAGAGACCTTGGTCCACTTGCGGGTGTGCTTCGAGTATTCCTGCCACCGAGGCAAGAACACATTCTGGCGATATGCGACAACATCTTCGCGTTCATGGCCATCGGAATACATCCCTTTCGGGCGGGAAGTCCATCGATACTCGTGCCGCTTCATCCATCGTTCCGCTGTCCGAACTGAGATTGGTTTCTTGAGCTTAAGACGTTGCTGCATCTCCTCCGAAGACATGATATCGACAACGTTCTGCGCAGAGATGAAAGGTCCGAGTGTCTGGAGCTGGAGAGAGATCGTTTGCGAGATGTCTTCATCGTCAAGAACACAGCCATTGAATTTCCCATATTCCGCCACCGGCAGTGTCTCGTCCTCCATGAAAGCCAGGGACCATTCACGAATGCGATGCGACATCCAGACTCCAGCACCGGCAGATTTGGCAATAAGATCAGCTTGAGTTCCCCAATCCATGTATCCACTCGATTTGTACAGTTGCAGAAATGAGAGCACGAGCTCAAGACGACCACGTAAGACGTTGTTCATGGTGGCATATCGATATCCCTTTGTATTTGGGCCGCGAGATGGACGCAGAATTGCCTGGAGCTTCTCAATTCCCGCGTCGATGACTTTCGGAGGTGGAGGAGCCCCAGAACGAGGAGTGGCGGCAGGAGTTATCGGCTTGAACATGTCATTGCCGCGAGTGAGATCGAAGTTCAGAGGTGCGAAATGAACGCGAGGAGGCGGCGCAGCAGTGCCAGTGCCCAGAGTGGCAGGTGCTGTTTCATTTGCGGACTCCGATCCAAGCTCTGGCTGGTCCGGCTGTTCTGAAACCAGACGAACTAAGTCGATATCACCATCGAGTCCCTCCTCAGCCAGACCGCTATTCTCGCTCGGGGTTGGAGATGCAGGGCAATCGAGCAAGCTTGCACTCTCCGAGCCATCAGAGTCCGGGAGTTGCTGCTCGTTGTCTCGTTCAGTCTCTTCGCAGGGCATGGACACTAAAACAACAATTCAGATTGCTTTGCAACAACGAGGAGATTTGGCAGTGCGTACCGAGTTCTTTTGGCTTCAGCCATGACAAAATTCCTCCCCCGTGAGCTTTCTTCGTCTTTGCTTGCTGTGCTCGATGAAGACGTTCTGTTTGGGCTGCAGGAACGCCTCCGACACTGGACTTGTAATAATTTCCACGCGCAGTGCCGATTTTCATCCGAGTCATCAGGACTCTGAGCTTCGTCTGAGCACTCGCCGACAAGCCGTCCGCAAGCTCAGGCACATCATCAACCACCACAGACACGTCGGACTCCTCGGACTCGTTGGACTCGATGCTTTGCTTCTCCCATGCCAGTTCCGATGTGCGATTGGCGTCTAAAGAAGCCCGAGATTGGGTGTCGTCATCTCGTTCGTGATTGGAGACAGGTGTCTCAGAGCGTTTGATCTTTTTCTGCTCAGAATCAGTATCAGACGGCACAAATTGAACAGAATCTCACGTTGGCATGCGATCCAAGGTTCTGAGCCACTCAGCGTCGCTTTAATTGAGGCATGTGTGGTCAAAAGGTAAGGCCCGAGATGCGATCAATCGATCACGTGAGTCACGGTAACGTCACGGTAACGCGGCCAATTTCCGGCCTCGCCTGGATCGAAACTTGCCCAAATTGGTTTCTGATGCTTTTCGCGATGAAAGAAAAGGGGAAACTTTTTGGGTGTACTACTCAGTCCACAGCTTAATATTGGGGAAAGTACAACCAAGACATCATAGTAGACAGCTATTAGAACACATTCTTGGATTCTAATATGAAAGTAATGTTACCGTCCCAGAGAGGTGTCGAGCCCAAGATCCTGTCACAAAAATCACGTGTCCGCTCGATGGCAGTGACTGACGCCTATCTTATG